CCACCTCCCAGTAACACCGTCCACTCAGACTCTCTCTACTCAGGACCTGATGATAATAAGTGAATCTGTCTGGGTGACTGGAATAAGACTGTGGTTGTTGCATGTATGTTGCTTTTCTGCTCCCCTCAGATAATAACAGATGTGTGTTTGCTGTGTTTGGATCCAGAGTGACTTCCTGTGAATATTGTAAGAACCCAGCTCTGGTGGTGGGCTCTGCTGCTGACAGTAAAACATCCACTTCAGTCGATGAGACGTTTGTCCATTCCTCTCTCAGGGCGTCCTGTAGTTTGTCTCTGAGTGCTGACAGGGCCGCCGTCACGTCCTCAAAGTAGCTCAGAGGACGGATGTTGATGCTGGAGGAGTGTGTAGCTTCACTGAGGGCTGGCAGTGAGGGGTAGCTGAGCAGGAACTGGTTGTGATCCTCTATGTGAGACAGCAGCTTCAGCTCAGCGTCTCTCCTCTTCAGCTCAGAGATCTCCTGCTCCAGCTTCTCCTGGAGCTCTCTGACTCGACTCACTTCTCTCTCCTGCTGGGATCTGAGCTGCTGCTTCACATCAGAGCTTCTCTTCTCCATGAGACGGATCAGCTCAGTGAACGTCTTCTCACTGTCCTCCACTGCTTTATCAGCAGAGCCATTGACGGCCTCCACCTCCTGCTGAAGCAGCTTCACCTCCTTCTCTCCGTCCTGGATCCTCTGCTGGATGTTGAGTCGACTCCCCTCCAGCTCTCTCTGCCTCTCAGTCCTCTCTGCTGCAGCTGACACCGTGTCGTGGCCTTTGTGTTCGTCCACAGAGCAGAGATAACAGATACTCTGCTGATCAGTGCGGCAGAATATCTTCATCACCTCGTCGTGACGAGGGCAGATGTTCTCCTGGAGCATCTTGGAGGGCTCCACCAGCTTGTGTTTCTTTAATTGAGCGACGTCATAATGAAGCTGGAGGTGTTGCTCGCAGTAAGATACAAGACACACGAGGCAGGACTTACAGGCTCTCAGCTTCCTCCCAGTGCAGACATCACAGGCCACATCTTCAGCTCCAGCATAGCAGAGATCAGCAGGAGCAGCTTGGAGTCCAGTCTTCTTCAGCTCCTCCACTAAAGCTGCTAACATGGTGTTCTTCAGCAGGACAGGCCTCGGTGTGAAGCTCTGCCTGCACTGAGGGCAGCTGTGGATTAGCTCTCCATCCCAGTGGTGTTTGATACAGTCCTTGCAGTAGCTGTGTCCACAGGGAATAGTGACCGGATCCTTCAGTAGATCCAGACAGATCGAACAAGAGAAGGTTTCCCGGTCCAGCTGAACTCCTTTCTGCGCCATCTCACCTCTCAGTGTCAGCGAGTGTCTGAGTTTCACTTCCTGAGAGCTGAAACTATGTGAGCTGTGATCTGAACAGCATGTGTGTGAGCAGTGCATGTGGCCTATCAGCTCTTGTACTTTACCCACATGTTGGTTACACCCATCCCCCTCAGTGTGGATCTGAAGGGGAGGAACCAGGAAATACAGAGTGGAGCTGGCTGTGTCTGAGAGCAGGAAGAAGAGGGAGGGCTCATCAAACTCTGACTCGTTCCAGGAGGAGGAGCAGACACTCTGAACTGTTTCCTCATTTACAAACGGAGCCTCGCTCACAACCTGCTTATAATAACAACATTCGTTTTAAAGTCAGGCTTTTGTAGCACACAGATCCACACTCATGGTGGCAGTGGTGTAAGAAGTACTCAGATATTCTACCAAAGCAAAAGTAGAAATACTACGGGGTAAAAATACTCTGTTACAAGTAAAAGTACAAAAGCATTGGTATCAAAATATACTTAAAGTACCAAAAGTAAAAGTACTCCTTATGCATTATGGCCCTTTTCAGAATCCTATATATATATATATATATTGAGTTACTATAATGATTATTGATGTGTGTTATCACAGTTAGTAAATGAAGAGCTGATTTGAATACCTTGATGTCTTGCTGCTCGATATCTTATCCTATAAATATCTGTCAAAGTGTATTTAATAATTGATTTATATTTTTGAATTATTTACTAATCTATATCTAACTAGTAAAAGCTGTGAAATGAATGCAGTGGATTCAAAAGAACAATACTGTCTTTTAAAATGTAGCGCAGTGGAAGTATAAAGCAGCATACAGGGCCGGCCCTAGACATTTTGGTGCCCTAGGCCAGATTATGATTTGGTGCCCCCCCCCCCCCCCCTCCAAGCAATACACAATAGAATATATAAAGAATAAATGAAAAATCTCTACAAAAGACAAATACACTACAACAACTGAAACGTATTGACATGTTGGTTATATACAGAAAGAAGGTTTCAAATGTATTCATTATTGTATGAACATGTTTTAATTGGGGGGTGCACGTCACATCCTCCAGGGGGGTCCAGGGGTATGCCCCCCTGGAAACATTTGTTTTAACATTTTAAAGTAAAATGCTTCAATCTGGTGCACTTTGAGCAGAATTATTAGAGACTAGATCTAGGGGGTACAACTCTAAAGCACCCATATGAAAAAGATCGGTTTACATTTTAATAATCAAATAAGGATGTGAACATAACCAATAACATACCATAGCCAATAACAAATAAATGTAACGTATTTTATTTTTGTTGTTCATTCATATCTTATTTTACCAGTTAACATTTATTTATTTATGCGTATTTTTTAATATCTCCAGTTTTAAACGATATGTTTGGTTACTGGCCTATAGTATATTGGAATGATTTCAAACCTGTTTTTATTTATCCTAATAATTATAAAGGTGTTCCTTGTAAATATTTGTTTACATAAATTGTGATCAAACCGTTTGAGACCCACTGAGATAACTAGACTAAAGTGAACTATCTAAACACTCAGAGAGTCCTTTACCTCACTGAGCTGTAGTTGTCAGCCTCAATCCAACAACAATCCGCGGTACCGATGCGCGCCCTAGGCGACCGCCTAGTTCGCCAGTGCCAAGGGCCGGCCCTGGCAGCATAAACTGAGACGTATTGACTACTCACTACTTACTGTGCGTATTGTCCCATTTTAAGATTATTTCATTTCGATATATTCATGTGTTTGTTACATCCCTAATAAAGTGTAGGGGAAATGGAGACAGTAACAAACAACAGCCAATAACAGTCAGGGTGAAAGTGCACTGTTGCTCGCTTTTTGTTACCAAACCTTTTTGTATTTTGAACTGCACCTGGGTCCTATTTTCCCCAAACCTGACATATGGAGGTCTTTAAAACTCTCAAACACACACACACACACAATGTTTACATTACTTCAGGGGATATTACTTAACATTGACTTTGACTTAAATGCATTTCCTGGAGACTTATCCTAACCTTAACCATAACCAACACATGACTTACCCTAAACCTAACCTTAATCCTAACCAAGTCTTCACCCTAAAATTAATGATACCCCTTATGGGGACCTCCATTTAGTCCCCCCATAAGGCAATGTTTCTCAAACTTTTTCATACCAAGGTCCACTTAACCAATAAAAAAACACTCTCGGACCACCTAACTCCACAAATATCCAAAATCACATCGTTTTTCTAGAACAGATTACAAATCGCCTGAAAATGGTACAAACAAGTGGCAACATTTGTGATGAAGGTGTTGCGCTGGGCTATATCATGCAATTGAATGTGAAACTTAAACTCGCTCCATTGCGGAGATATTCCCGCAATACGAGCGAGTGCGGAAAACTCTAATTAATTAATTAATTTCAAATGTGAAAATTTACCAATATACTCAAGGCAGGGGTGGATCTAGCGGGGTGTTAACTGCCACCCTAAACAATAGCCTTGCCACCCCAGCTGCCACCCCAGTTGGCATCTTTGTTTTGAAAGAAAAGTTGTGGCTCATCGGACATTTATGAGAGAAAGTCTCTAATGTCCGAGTTCAAGTGAATGCAGCACAATATGCACGTCATGTAACCCCTCCCCCGGTCCGGCCGCGAGAGTGGAAATATGATTGGTGGCAAATTCACTTGAACGGGGGGACGGCGGAAAACGAGAAGCATTTCGGACCCAAGCACTGAAGGAATGAGGTAGTTGCGGTCTACAATGAGAGAAGAGACTGTCAGTGTGGCTGTACTCAGCATTGAATCAAAACGCACTACAGCTGTTGATCTTAATAAGTTTGTGAGGCGTTTTGCTGAACAAAATGGTAATCTCCGCATTCAGCTGTAATAGACAACTTGATGCTCTGCTCACGGATGACTCGATGAGAATAACAAACTAACCAACAAAAAGTAACCACTTTGATTTAACTAGGCCAGCAGGTAAGGACTTTCCACTGGATCATAACTGCAGCGATGTATATGTTTGAGCTGAATACACGTTTTTTAACCCTAACTGATGCAGTTAGTCACTTCTTTAATGTTTGTTCTCTCTGATGTAAAGTCCAGGTTGTAACTGTTTGCAATGAAGTCGTGGGGCGCTGAACTGTTCCTTTGAATCCTGTGAATTTTGATACATGATATAATTACTTGTCTTTCAAATTTGAAGGAGGGTGAGCAAGCATCTTGAGGAACATTCATCATTAACTCCTCCAAAAAATATAGTTTATTCAATCATAAATAATAAAAAATACAGTGATTGACAGCTGATAGGAATAATATGATTTTTAATAGTATCATATTCATTCAGACAAACATCGACGAGACAGTTAATTAATGTACTTATTGCAGCAGTCTGCATAGATTTGGTTCCCCTGCTGGTCTAAGAGTGAAACTCATTCAGTTATTGTTCAGTTAAAATTCATTAAATGATGTCTGCCACCTTATATATTTATATTTAAGGCTTTACTGATGTGCCACAATAATGTCACCTAATGTTATTGAGTTAAAATATCAATATTATGGCTTTCCAAGTGAACATTGATTGATAGACTGCGATTAAATTAGCATATACTTCTGCCAGGGGATGCCACCCCTCAAACCTCCTGCCACCCCATGAATATTTGTCTAGATCCGCCCCTGCAACAACAGCATTTGTTGTCTGTATTAATGATCTACCTTCTCAGAGTGATGGTCCGGAGGGAGGGGGGGGTAATCACACTTCTCGATCTTCTGGCAGAGGGAGAGCAGGTTCATCTTGTCCCCATAAAAGGGACTCTGCAGCGCTGCCATCTGCAGAATAAAGTGGAAGACAGGCTGGATGAGAGACATTCCTGGTGAAGACTGAAAACCAGCACGATGCAGAAGAGGTGATAGATCAGTCGCTGCTGACAGAGCGCAGACGTCCACTCTTTGGAGGATTGAAAAGGAGCTTGAAGACTTATTGTGACTTCCCAGTGACGGATGCTAGGGCCCGCTACATTTCATTATACCTGAAGAGCTCCCTTTCCATCCTCATCTAAAGCAGGCTATACGTACTATATGTGAATATTTATTAACCTCAGCTGTAGTGTAAAAGGGTTAGGGTCCAAAGTGCTTGAATTTCACTTTGGAAAAGGTGTACAAACCTTGAAAAAACAAGTACAGTGTATGTGAGCTTACCTCATACAGAAGACATCCCAGAGACCAGATATCAGACTTAAAATTGTATCCGTTCTCGTGGATCCTCTCCGGCGACATGTAGTAAGGAGTCCCCACTGGGAGAGAGAGAGTTAAGATGTTCAGAAAAACAATTGATCCTTGCTGTAAGACGATCACAGAAAACACACAGATCTAATGCTGTTTTTTAAATGTATACTTAGTTATTATTGTAACATCGAATCCATGTATATGATATATGTGTATCCATGTTCTGTATTATTAACATACGTTCTGTCCGTTCCTTACCTAAGGAGTGTGCCGCCGTGGTTTTGGAGCTGAAGAAGCGTCCTAATCCCAGGTCACCCAGCTTCACCTCACCTGTGGCTGTGATGAACACGTTGGCTGGCTTTATATCTGACAAACCACACACACACACACACACACACACACACACACACCACACACACACACACACACACACACACACACACACACACACACACATACACACACACAGACAGAAATGTTATGGCAAAGCTGATCAAATCATTGCAGGCTGTAGAGAAATGTACACTGGGTCAGGTTCAAATACCTTCCGTGTTTAAATATCGACTACAATAAGATTAAAAGAATACAAGATGTTCTTGCTGCTGATACCAATATGAAATTGCTGATGATCCATAGTGAGGTTTTTCAGCTTGTACTTTTATAACAGTAAATATAAGTCTGACCCCTCAGTGTCTAAGGCTCTCCACCAGGGGGCCGCGTAACAAAGGAGATAAATGCAAGTACGTTTAAAGAACCACAAATAGTGGAGTTGGTTTCTTCTGCTTTCAGAAACATACTAAAGTGTGTTTGTTACCCTGGTTGCTGATTGGCTAATGGTTACACAACCCAACAAAACGTTATGACATCATAAAGTGGCCAAAATCTGATCAGCTCATTTTCAGACAGGTTTTTATAGAAATGGATCAAAAAGAGAGAGAATCTTTGTTCCTGAAACTTTCAGAGTCTCTTTCCACAGAGGGGACACATGTTGATGTAGAAGAGACATGAAGAAGAGGGGACACATGTTGATGTAGAAGAGACATGAAGAAGAGGGGACACATGTTGATGTAGAAGAGACATGAAGAAGAGGGGACACATGTTGATGTAGAAGAGACATGAAGAAGAGGGGACACATGTTGATGTAGAAGAGACATGAAGAAGAGGGGACATGTTGATGTAGAAGAGACATGAAGAAGAGGGGACACATGTTGATGTAGAAGAGACATGAAGAAGAGGGGACACATGTTGATGAAGAAGGTGAAGAAGAGACAGAGACAGAAGAAGAGGGGACACATGTTGATGTAGAAGAGACATGAAGAAGAGGGGACACATGTTGATGAAGAAGAGACATGAAGAAGAGGGGACACATGTTGATGTAGAAGAGACATGAAGAAGAGGGGACACATGTGATGTAGAAGAGACATGAAGAAGAGGGGACACATGTTGATGTAGAAGAGACATGAAGAAGAGGGGACACATGTTGATGTAGAAGAGACATGAAGAAGAGGGGACACATGTTGATGTAGAAGAGACATGAGAAGAGGGACACATGTTGATGTAGAAGAGACATGAAGAAGAGGGGACACATGTTGATGTAGAAGAGACATGAAGAAGAGGGGACACATGTTGATGAGAAGAGACATGAAGAGAGGGACACATGTTGATGTAGAAGAGACAGAAGAAGAAGAGAGGGGACACATGTTGATGTAGAGACATGAAGAAGGGGACATGTTGATGTAAAGAGACATGAAGAAGAGGGGACACATGTTGATGTAGAAGAGGAGAAGAGGGGACACATGTTGATGTAGAAGAGACATGAGAAGAGGGGACACTGGTAAGGACATGAAGAGGGGACCAATGTTGATGTAGAAGAGACATGAAGAAGAGGGGACACATGTTGATGTAGAAGAGACATGAAGAAGAGGGGACACATGTTGATGTAGAAGAGACATGAAGAAGAGGGGACACATGTTGATGTAGAAGAGACATGAAGAAGAGGGGACACATGTTGATGTAGAAGAGACATGAAGAAGAGGGGACACATGTTGATGTAAAGAGACATGAAGAAGAGGGGACACATGTTGATGTAGAAAGACATGGAAGAGGGGACACATGTTGATGTAGAGAGACATGAAGAAGAGGGGACACATGTTGATGTAGAGACATGAAGAGAGGGACACATGTTGATGTAAAGAGACATGAAGAAGAGGGGACACATGTTGATGTAGAAGAGACATGAAGAAGAGGGGACACATGTTGATGTAAAGAGACATGAAGAAGAGGGGACACATGTTGATGTAAAGAGACATGAAAGAAGAGGGACACATGTTGATGTAGAAAGACATGAAGAAGAGGGGACACATGTTGATGTAGAAGAGACATGAAGAAGAGGGGACACATGTTGATGGAAGAGACATGAAGAAGAGGGGACACATGTTGATGTAGAAGAGACATGGAGAAGAGGGGACACATGTTGATGTAGAAGAGACATGAGAAGAGGGGACACATGTTGATGTAGAAGAGACATGAAAAGAGGGGACACATGTTGATGTAGAAGAGACATGAAGAAGAGGGGACACATGTTGATGTAAAAGACATGAAGAAGAGGGGACACATGTTGATGTAGAAGAGACATGAAGAGAGGGGACACATGTTGATGTAGAAGAGACATGAAGAAGAGGGGACACATGTTGATGTAGAAGAGTAACGAAGAAGGGGACACATGTTGATGTAAAGAGACATGAGAAGAGGGGACACATGTTGATGTAGAAGAGACATGAAGAAGAGGGGACACATGTTGATGTAGAAGAGACATGAAGAAGAGGGGACACATGTTTATGTAGAAGAGACATGAAGAAGAGGGGACACATGTTGATGTAGACCTGATCCACCACTACACCCCCTCCCGCAGCCTTCGTTCATCAGAAGCGAACCTCCTCTCTATCCCCACACGAACCAAGCTCCGAACCTGGGGGGACAGAGCCTTCTCCATCGCTGCCCCCACCCTCTGGAACTCCCTTCCACAACACATCAGAGACCGCACCGACCCCCCCACTTTCAAAACACTGACCAAAACACACCTCTTCAGACTGGCTTTTCATTTGTGAATTATGCTGTGTTGCTGTTTTAATATATATATATATATTTTTTTTTTCTATTTTATCATGTTTTATCAAACCACTGTAAAGCGTCTTTGAGCACCTGGAAAAGCGCTTTGAAATTAAATGTATTATTATTATTATAGAAGAGACATGAAGAAGTGGGTTTTGCCTAAGAGAGGCGAAGTCCCTCCCCTTCCGGTCGTCCCTCCTTGGGACCTTATTTCGGAAAAAGTATGTATTGAAGTCAATGAGAGAGAAAAGCTATCTTTCGATCCCGTTTGAATTGTGCAATGAATTACACACATGATGTTTGTCAATTTAAAAGATAATTTTGCAAGTCAAAAAAATCAATATGTGTCGTAAAACTGTGAATTAACACTTTTGTTTGTGTGAAACGCTCAATGAACTACATCTCCCGTCTCGCTCCACACACCAAGACGGCCGTCACGTTGAAACATTTCACTTCTTTCTTTCAGAATGAAGCGGAAAGTATTAAAAGGTGAAAATCACTCCAAGTCTGGGCGCGTTGAGAGCTGTGCACACACACAAGGGGAGTTAGTCGGTTCCAGCATGCGGGACCGGCTTTACAAGGTTTCGGTGAGTAACACGAGTGTAATGTGTAACGTTAATGTCAGCTGCTAAATTCACTTACGAGACTCTGGGATTTGTATATATTGTAATATTCTATATTTTTAAATAAAAGAATAGAAATGTTTTTATTTTACTATAATTATTTTATATTCTACATAAACCATTCATCCATTCATTTAATTCATTCAAACAGCCCTCAAACGTGTACTCTCTCGGGAGAAGACCACTGACCAGGGGGTCAGAACGATGAAGAGCACGCTCCTAGAGGCAGTGGAGACCCGCTTTGCTGAGGTAGAGGAGGAGCCACTGTACAGCATTGCCACTCTAGTGGATCCAAGATACAAAGACAGGCAAGTACAGTCAATTAATGTACCATTTGAATGCTATTATAATCGTATCTATTACGTTATGAATTATGTATATCAAACCAACCACCAGTATTCATTATTCAAGCCAATTTCTATTTTTCTTTCCTTTTAAATGTAGGTCTGTTAGATTTGTATAGAAGTAAGGCAGTTGCCTGACCTCACTGTTGTGCTGTGTGGTGTCTTGTCTTATGTTTTTCTTTGTTGTGGGTAATTGTTACATTTATCTATTTTCAGATTCTTCACAAAGTCAGACAATCTGAGGCTTGCCACGGATAACCTCATCCTGGAGGGGGCGAAGATAGAGAGGGCTGCCAGTGAAGAGCCAGAGGCAGCAGAGCCTATGCGCAACACACCACGCCAAGAAGCAAGCAGCAGCCTGGGCAGCGTCTTGGACGAGATCTTGGAAGAGAATCAGCTCGAGGCCCGGTCCGTGAGTACATCAGCTGATGTCCAGGTACAGACCTATCTCTCAGAGCAAGCCAGCGTTCAAGGGTACTATGACTATGCTTGCACGTCATGGTACCATAGCACCTCCAAGGCGCTAAAAAAAAAACTTCAAACATCGCAAAATAAACTGGTCAGACTACTGCTTGACCTTTCATCTAGAACCCACCTCACCTCTGCCCACTTTGACAACCTAGGATGGCTTAGAGTAGACGACAGAGTACAGCTACTTGCAATGGGCCTGGTCTACAAGATCCACTACACCTCTATGGTACCCATGTACATGTCAAAATGCTTCCCAAAGGTCAAGGAATACCATGATCATAACACCAGAGGGAGCTCCACAAATTATGTGAAACCCAGATTTGGCACAAAAAAGGGGGAATACACGTTTCGCAATGATGCCACATCAAGGTGGAACGCTCTTCCCACAACTGTAAAAGGAAAGTAAAACTATACTTACCTTCAAAACCTCTCTTAAAGAGCACCTTCGGGGGAGAGCATTGTAAAACTGGCCCCGGTAATGGTACAAAATCTCAACCTGTCGTTCAATGGACAGCTTCCCCCCCCCCCCATCTATGTATATACTCGCATTTTAGACTCTGTTACTAACTGTATATCTGTAGACTTGGTATGTCTTAAATGTCCGGTTAGGATGTATTAGAACGAAATCTAAAATATAAATTGTAAATAAGCCATCTGTATGTAAAAAACCACCTGTATGTAAATTGTAAATAAGCCATCTGTATGACAAATATGTCTTATATGATATGATGAATTGGAAATGGGGGACCTTGATGTAAACAAGACGAAAGTCTTTCTCTGGTCTGCATCCCCTTAACAATTGTATGTTTTGAGCTGTACTGTACTGTACCCAATAAACAAGCTGTTAATACACTTTTCAATCAATCAATCAATCAAGCCCTAGGAAAAGCAATCCTCTACACTACTGGAAAGATAATGCTTCACGGTTCCCCTCACTGGCTGCTGTTGCAACCAGGTTTCTCTGTGGACAGTAAAGCACCCAGATATTGTTCTAAACTGTATTAAAGTAAACAGGTATTATCTTGAACTGTATTGAAGTGAACATGTATTATTTGGGACTGTTTAAAGTAATCCTATATATATAAACCTTCTTACCTACACTCCATGACCCAGAGACCCTGACACACACACATACACCCCCTCCTGTCTTCATGCAGCACACACACATAAACTCCTCAACCCAGATATCAGCAACACACACACATATGCCTCTGCTTATCAGCACACACACACACACACACACACACTTTCCCTCACTAACACACACACATGTTCTTTTTCTTTGGTCCTTGCTGAGAATAATCCGAAGCACCAATATTTCTGTGTACAATGTTTGATTGTTTTAAAAGAATAGTTTGTGTGAAATCTTCCCTGGGAAAGTAAAGGAGTTAACCCAGGTATAAGATACAAAGTGATTCTGACCTTGTATAGTTCCGATGCTGTCACGCTCTGTTCAGAAGAAAGATACTTTTTCCCAGAACTCTAATTCGCTTAGGAGTCAAATGGGACGGAAGAGCCGACACATCTCCACCTCCAAATATATCCATATATACTGTTGTTTCTTCATGCAAAAGGCCCCCTGTTTCTGACTGGCTGGTCCCGATACCTGCATCTCACAGCAGTAGAACTGGGAGTCCGGAGTACTCTGTAAACTTGTATTGGTGTTTTTTACCATTAAAATCAGATTATTGTTATAACTTTTATGCCGGTGTGTTGAACTCCCTCTTTTATCAATCTGACCAGGCTCATCTAACGGACGGCGCGGAGCAGAGGTGGGCTTTGAGCCACCACTATTGTGTCTGCTCCTACAATCTGGTGACCCCGACGTGATGAGTGCTGGTCTCCAGGAGTAACACCGACAGCCAGCGGACGAATTTCAGTCCAGGGGAGGACACCTGCACACCATTGACAACTAAATCAGGACGTCCAGATACAAAGGTGAGCAGACACCTGTTGATTGTCAAAGTCTGTAATTGGCTATACTACAAAACATTTAGAGTTGTCAGCGGCGTTCTCAGTGTCCTTAGTCATGGTAAAAAATACAATACTGAACACAGTGTTTGTAGAGTCAGGTAGATGAGTCCTGTACCTAAGGCACTAAGTGTTGGTGAAGAGTCTGGTATTGCAGTCCAGTACCTTTAACTCACTAAAGTAAGAAGGGGCTTAGAGTCAGGTAGAACAGTCTGGACCTAAGGCACCGAGTTAAAGTGCTTAGTCAGGTATAGAGTTCTGCAGCTAAGGCACTGAGTGTTTGTAAGACTCGGGTAAATAGCTATAAGTCCAGTTCCTTAATTCACTAAAAAGAAGAAGAAAAAAAGAAAAAAGAAAGAAAAGTGAACCAGCGAGAGCGTGAGGTAGTTTAGTCCGGCACGGCTGACTCGCTGGGAACATTCTGTAGACTATAGACTGAATATTATATGTGGGTTTTCAAGAGGAGATACGCAACTTTCAAAATCAATTTGAAACGACCGGATCTCGCAAACTCTTGCTGTGGGGGTGATCTGAACGGCTAAACGTGACGATAAAGGATTTTTTTGGTTTGGGTTAATCTCCTTGTGTCGGTCGCATCTCTATATAGGGGTGTCGAAGCACCGGCAAAGACCAGAATTATCTGTTGAAATATACATCGCACAAAAAAAGCCGGACAGAATGTATAAGGGAATAAACTCTGTGTGAACTTTTTACGTCGAATCTGTGTAATAATTGAGAAAATAGAGCATAGCAGGAGATACACAAGACAATTGCAGAGCTGAGAGATTCATCAAGACAGAGGAAGCTCATTTGTGGTCAGCTGCTGCCCACTGGTGGGGAACAGGGTGTAACAATATTCTGGGATTGGAACTCTGAATTCAGAATAGAATATAGGACGACAAGATTTGTCCAGTGTATTAATAAATACAAGTAATTTAGTCAGATAATAGATACGAAGTCAATTATGGAAGAAAAGTAAAAGAAAAAGAGCAAGCTATTCATCACAATTGTATTTTTATGTTATGAATAAAACAAAAAGAAGTAGCCTAAGTGATAAGCAGAAGGGTTTTTGAACGCTTGTCAGTCAGAAGGAATCTATTAATGTGTAAGACAGGGGTGCTTATGCCCGCTTCGGTTTTCAATGTCCGCCATCACGTTAAAACAGAGGATTGGTGGCATTTTCAGTTCATTGCTTGCTTCCACACGCCTTTTCCCCTCCTTGTCTCTTTCATGACTTTAGTTCATGCATTAGAACGATTGCTATAGTAACTTTCCGTGTTTCTGGAAGTCAAACTCACTGTTCACATTACGGAGTATATTTCCGGAACGGCCTTTCAAAATAAAAGCCACAGGCCGCTGTTCACCAGAGATGCCTTCACAATAAAACAGTAATTAGCTTAACAATATATTTAACTTATATTACGTCCTTAAACATTGATTTTAATTCATTATAGTTTTCAAATACGGCGCGGATTGAATACAGTTATTTGTGTATTCTGTTACAACCTCACCATGCTTGTAACACCACTTAGATACACAATTTGAAAATGAATAGCATTAACCAAGTAGATAAAAGATTAG